CTATATTAACCTAACAAGAAAATGTTCGGTCTTTGAAGTTGACGATAATCTGAACAATTTTTGTTTGACAATTTTTCCTGTATCTCTAAAAATGAAGTGGTGGGGGGTATTCAAAGGTTTCCGTAAAGAACACCCTGTATCTTCGAAACGGCTGAGCCGATTTAAACAATAACTCGCGTTAGTTCAAAATAGCTATTCTTCAGCTACAAATATTATACTATTTGAAGTTTTGTTAGTTTCAAATATCACCGCTTGAGGGCTTTTTTCGACATTCTGACAGAAATGGTTAGTTTTCTCAAAAAAATTAAATGCATTGGTTCGATTTTTTTTCATGAAAAAGTAGCTAAATGATGCCTAAACAAGTTCGCGAAAACAGCATCTCGATATCTTGAGAGAGAGAGAGAGAGATATATATATATATATATTTTTTTTTTATATCGTGATGGCCAGCATTTCGAGCATTTACGGTGGCATTAAAAGCTTCCTTTGTTAAATCTATCCACCTTAGGGCCACAAATTATATAATAAAAATAATTCCGGAAAAATTATCTTAAAAAAATAAAATTTTGAGCGTATAAACTTTTCTTTGGCGTAAATTTTAGGTTAGGAACAAGATATCGAGATGCGGTTTTTGCGAGCTTGTTCAGGCATCATTTAGCTACTTTTTCATGAAAAAAAAATCAAGCCAACGCATTTAATTTTTTTGAGAAAATTAACCATTGAATGTCGAAAAAAGCCCCCAAGCGGCGATATGTGAAACTAACAAAACTTCAAATATTGTAATATTTGTAGCCGAAGAATAACCCTTTTCAATTAACCCGAGTTTGTTAAAATCGGCTCAGTCGTTTCGAAGATACAGGGTGTTCTTTACGGAAACCTTTGAATAACCCCCCCCCCCCCCCCCACCACTTCATTTTTAGAGATACAGGAAAAATTGTCAAACAAAAAAGGTTCATAATAATAATAATAATAATAATGTTTATCTAGTAAAAAACAATTTCACATTGTAATACATCGTCACAAACAATACATTTACGAGGTGGTCTTCACAAAATGTGATTGTGTATGTCACTGTGGGTCACGAATTTACTCCTATCCCTAAAAATAGGTACAAGACAAGTATACAGGTACACAGAAAAAAATGTTAAAATGTTGTGTTCGCGAAAAATATCCCCGCTCGTTTGGGTAGGGATTAAATTAAATAGAAGTTGCAGGATTCTTTTTTGTAAAATAAAAACACGGTCAGAATAACAAGAGCCACCCCATACGATGACGTTATAACTAAGTGCAGAGTACACTAAAGCGTAATGTAACGTTATTTATAAATTCGGGTTCGATTTATATCAATATTTATTAAACAAAACTAAAACACTATAAAAACTGTACAATTTATATCGACTATTTATATCACACACTTCGCAATTTGTATTTCCGCGCTCGATGTTTCATCCGTACTCGATCTCGTTCGGTAGTAAACTGCCTGCGATGTTCGGTCCGCAACCATTTATACACGCAAGCAATGTAAGTCCAGAACACTCGCAAAACTACCAGATAAGTCTGGAATATTCCTATACAAATCCCACTATCGCGCGCGTAGAAAATTCCAGAGCGCCAAAGGCGACGTCCTGTCTGGAGCGTTTCCGTTACAGTAATATACTTGTAGCAGTGCATCTCCTCGAATTGTGTTTTTGAGGTTTAATATTACATAAAAGGCTTGGTTGAGTTTTGCACAGACATTATAGACATGATCGATTCAGGACAAATTAGGATCAATGACAATATGATCGTAGTCTTCAAAGACCGGACATTTTATTGTTAGGTTAATATAGCGGAATTCACAGAAAAATCACTTTTTTAAATTCCAGTAAAGTCACTAGATATAGAAAGTCCCGCAATCATCCGCCATTTTTGGGCAAATTTGCTGCCAACTTAAAAAAATTGGCAAATAAAATCTGAATAGCTGTCATTTTTTATAACCTAACTTCATAGTACTGTCATGTTTTATAAAAATATATACAGATATCTCCAAACAGGTGGAACAATCCCTAACATTAAAGTTACTAGAATCTGGTAATTTCCGCCATTTTTGGGCAAAAATAATGCGTTCTCTCTCTAACACACGAGACGAGCCCAATGGATTGCGGTACTTTCTATATTTAGTGACTTTAAATTCCAGATTGCAGTTACGCCCCCTAGCGGCCATTGCAGAAACTTAAAAATATTTTCCAGGTGTCCGTTTTAGTAATAAATTTTTTTACCACAAGCCTCTACGATGGACAGGTTCCCAGATGCAATACCTCGCATTCTTATTTGGCCACCCTGTACACTATTTGTGAGTTAACGAAATCTTGAAGGTGTCCGAATATTTCCGGGCCAGGACCCTACGCACGTCTACGTGGGGTGGGTGACCACCCAGTACCACCTGCACTCGAAGGACTTCAACCAAAACCAGGTGCAGAAAGCGTCGGTTATACTCGTGGACGACTACGATCGGGTCATCGATTGGTAAGCGGGTAGTTTTATTGTTGAGCCGGTTCAAGACCTTTTTCTGCCAGCGTGGATCGCCAATCCTGCTACATGCTGCGGGCCGACGAGCTTTACAATGAGGTCACGCAGGACGCGTCGGGGAAGGGGGCCTCGCAAGGAATGTTTATCGGGTGCTTCTTGGACGCGGCCACCGGCGTTATCTCGTTCACGTGCGAGGGGAAGGAAACCAAGCACAGATTTAAGGTAATCCCCCCTCTCTGTTATTATCAAACTCAAAGTTGGCGTTGTAGATGGAGCCGGAGACGAAACTATTCCCCGCCATATTCGTCGAGGCGACTAGCAAGGAGGTGCTTCAAATTGAATTGGGCCGAACCGCCACCACGTTACCGCTTTCGGCCGCCATTTTGCAGAACAGCGCCAGACACGTCGTCCCTCAATTCCCCCCGCGTCTCAAAGTGCAATGCCTGAAGCCGCACCAGTGGGCTCGCGTGCCCAACAACAACCTGCAGGTCCACGCGCTGAAACTGTCCGACATTCGCGGCTGGTCGATGCTGTGCGAGGACCCCGTCTCCATGCTAGCGCTGCATATTCCCGAGGAGGACCGTTGCATCGATATCTTGGAGCTGATCGAAATGGAGCGCCTCCTCAGCTTCCACGCGCACACGCTGACTCTGTACGCGGCGCTCTGTTTCCAGAGTAACTATCGCGCCGCGCATACTCTCTGCAAGCACGTGGATCATAAACAGTTGCTGTACGCGATCAAGTCGGAGTACATGAGCGGTCCATTGAGGCAGGGCTTCTACGATCTTCTCATAGCCTTGCACTTGGAATCTACGGCGACGACCATGTAGGACCTTGACTTAGTCTACAAGCATCTCACGCGATTGTTTCAGGGACGTCTGCAAGAACGAGTACGTCATCCCCTTGGGTCAGGAACTGAAGGATCTGTACGAGGATCCCGAGATGGGGCACAGTCTGCGCAAGCTCGATACGGTATCGGTCAAGCCCCAGATGAAGATGAGCGAAATTGGGGACACGATCGAGAAAATCAAGACGCTCTACTCGCCATATTTCGATCTCGAGGAGGTGCGCAATTACGTCATGCAGGCGCTGGCGGAGGCCGTCCAGATTAACCAGCTGCACAATCGCGATCCCATCGGTGGCTCCAACGAGAATCTTTTTCTGTGGGTGCCCCTTTACATCTCCCCTTTCTAATTACGCACATTCTAGGCCTTTACTGAAACTCGTCGATCGACTGTTGCTCGTGGGGCTGCTGCTCGATGAAGACATCGAAAAATTACTGGTAATGATCCACCCTGAAACGTGGGATCCCGAATTCGAGAAGGGTGAGTTGTGCGTTTCGGTGCGCTTTCGGTAATGCAGGGCTCGTAGATGGAAAAGATGAGCATCGCAAGGGCCTGTTGCACATGAAGATGGCGGAGGGGGCGAAGTTGCAAATGTGCTACTTGCTGCACCATCTCGGCGATGTTCAATTGAGACACAGGGTCGAGTATATCATCGCTTTCAGTCACGATTTCGTCGGGGAATTGCAAACCGATCAGCTTCGTCGATACATCGAAATTAAGCAGTCGGATTTACCGTCGGCGGTCGCGGCTCGAAAGACGAGGGAGTTTCGTTGTCCGCCCAGGGAGCAGATGAAAGCCATACTGGGTAAGGGTTCATTTCGGATTAAGTGCCCACAAAAAATCAAGGAAGAATCCCTTTGATCCTGTAATCAATGTCCCAGTACACACTAACATAAGTAGAGCAGACGCACCTTCCGCCATCTTGGATTTTGGACCAAGGTTACATAAATTTAAGGAGTGGCCTAACGCACCTTCGGCTCGCTTGGCATCGGCATAAATGAAAAGTTTAAAGAAATTTCTACACCAATGGCGAGCGAGCTTAAGGCGAGTTCGGCATAAATCAAGAAAATAACAGAAAATTTCTCCTGAAAACGAAATAGTGAGTGTCATTTTTATCAAGTTATGAAATTAAACTTAAAATCTTTTGTCGAGTATGTAGAACTATTCTTTATCATCGATTACGTGCCCGGGTTTTTTCGCCAGGGTACGACTTTGTACCACAAACCATTAATCTGCCTTATCCTAGATACAAACCATACGAGACATTAGCTAAGATAAGAATCCATTTTACTTTAGCCAAGATAGTGACCACACGAAGCTAGGAGAAGAACCAATTTTACTTTGCTACGAATTTGCACTAAAAAACAAGGTCACTCATTAGTTGCGTCATTGTTTTTTCGTAAAAGAAATGCTTTCTAATTTCCGTTGCATTCAAGACGACGCTTTAGTTAAGTAACACTTCGCGCTACGCCATGGTCCAAAATCCAAGATGGCGGAATGTGCCTCTGTTCTACTGACATAGCTAAACCTCTTGCGTAACGACGACAATTGGCAGGATTCAAAAATTTGGAAGAAGACGATAGGGAAAATTGTCCAATCGGCGAGGAGCTATGCGAGCAGTTGAATAAGTTCCACGAGGAGCTCATGTCTCAGGTGTCCCTGCACGCTTTGCAAGTGCCCGAAGAGGAAGCGGTCGACATACAAAAGCCGGGCGCGCTGAAGAAGTTTTACAATTTCATCAACGCGGTCAAGGAGCTGGAGGAGGAGCCGAAGCCCGAGGAGCAACCCGCCCACGTGATTCCCGAGCTGAATTTCCGCAAGGTACTAATCTCGACGATCGTCCATTGGGCGGAGGAGGCGCAGATCGAGACGCCGAAATTGGTTAGGGAAATGTTCAGTCTGCTGGTGCGGCAGTACAATTCGATCGGAGAGCTGATCCACGCGCTGGAAAAGACGTACATAATCAACGCGAAAACGAAGGGCGACGTTGCGGAGATGTGGGTCGGGCTTAGCCAGATTCGCGCGCTGTTGCCGGTGCAGATGTCGCAGGAGGAGGAGGAGTTGATGAGGGAGCGATTATGGTGCGTGATCCTCGTGAAGCGTGGGTAATTTTTGATTCTCTCGCAGGAAATTGGTTAACAATCATACGTTCTTTCAACACCCTGATCTGATCCGTATTTTGCGTATACACGAGAACGTGATGGCGGTTATGATCAACACTTTAGGTCGCCGATCCCAGACTCAGTCCGATGCCAGCGCCCCCCAAGCGGAAGGTGATGTAGCCGTTAAAGAAAAGGTTTGTGTCTCTCGTGGATTGCTTCGTGCCGAAATCGGTCTTTGTATTTTAGGACACCTCTCACGAAATGGTCGTCGCTTGCTGCCGTTTCCTTTGCTACTTCTGCCGCACGAGCCGTCAAAACCAAAAGGCGATGTTCGAGCACTTAAACTTCCTCTTGGACAACAGCAACATCCTGCTTTCGCGGCCGAGCTTACGTGGCTCCACCCCCTTAGACGTCGCATACTCGTCCCTCATGGAAAACACGGAGCTCGCGCTCGCACTCAGGTAACAAAACTCGCGTTTCAACTTGATCCAAACCAGTTTCTTCACAGAGAGCATTACCTGGAGAAGATCGCGATTTATTTGTCGCGCTGCGGCCTGCAGTCGAATTCTGATTTGGTCGAGAGAGGGTATCCGGATTTGGGCTGGGATCCGGTCGACGGCGAGAGGTACCTCGATTTTCTCCGCTTTTGCGTTTGGGTATAGGTCACGTGAAACAAATCCGAGCGTTGGTTAAGTGGTGGGTTTTTAGGTGAACGGCGAGAGTGTCGAGGAGAACGCCAATCTTGTTATACGTTTGTTGATTCGGCGACCCGAATGTCTGGGGCCTGCACTGCGAGGGGAGGGTGAGGGATTGTTGCGAGCGATTATTGACGCTAACAAGGTACGTTACTGGTGAATCGGCGAGGGCCGTTTATTAACTTCAGTTTAGATGTCGGAACGTATAAGCGACAGAAGGAAGTTAATGGATGAAGCCGAAGGTACTGTTAACGTCTCCCACTTCGCCCATCCTTTACCAGAGGGCGATGGTGACGAAGACTATATCGACACCGGTGCGGCGATTTTAAACTTCTACTGCACTCTCGTTGACCTTTTGGGCCGTTGCGCTCCGGACGCGGCCGTCATTGCGCAGGTATCACAATTCAAAATAATAGGCAAATTTACAAGATTGTTTTAGGGCAAAAACGAGTCGCTAAGGGCTAGAGCAATTCTAAGATCTTTGGTACCTTTGGAAGATCTACAGGGCGTTTTGAGTTTGCGTTTTACCCTACACAATCCGGCGGCCGGGGAGGAGCGACCAAAGTCTGATATGCCATCAGGTTTAGTCCCGACCCATAAGCAATCGGTGGTCTTGTTTTTGGAACGTGTCTATGGCATAGAAACGGAGGAGCTGTTCTTTAAGCTCCTCGAAGAAGCGTTTCTACCTGACTTACGTGCTGCTACAATGCTTGATAGGGTACGTAACGAAACCTAGTTAACAGTGGGGTTAGTCGATCAAGATCAAGAATTTTTTTTACTTAAGTGTCGATTTTCCTCAAATTTTGATCTTACCACACAACACGCGTAGATAATTGCCGAACGATCCGAAGTTGAGTGCTTTTTGCACTTTACTTAGAAGAAATTGGCGCGGCTTATGCCGAATTCGCCTTCGACTCGTTTTGCAACGGCTTTTTTGAGGTGAAATTGATCAATACGCGTAGATAGACCTTAGCACGATAATTGCCGAACGATCCGAAGGTGAGTTCGGCACAAATTAGACTCCAATCGTGCTTTTTGCACTTTACTTAGAAGAAATTGGCGCGGCTTACGCCGAATTCGCCTTCGACTCGTTCGGCAACGGCTTTTTTGAGGTGAAATTGATCAATACGCGTAGACAGACCTTAGCACGATAATTGCCGAACGATCCGAAGGTGAGTTCGGCACAAATTAGAACTCCAATCGTGCATTTTGCACTTTACTTAGAAGAAATTGGCGCGACTTATGCCGAATTCGCCTTCTAATCGTTCGGCAACGGCTTTTTTTGAGGTGAAATTGATCAATACGCGTAGATAGACCTTGGCACGATAATTGCCGAACGATCCGAAGGTGAGTTCGGCACAAATTAGACGCCAATCGTGCATTTTGCACTTTACTTAGAAGAAATTGGCGCGACTTATGCCGAATTCGCCTTCTAATCGTTCGGCAACGGCTTTTTTTGAGGTGAAATTGATCAATACGCGTAGATAGACCTTGGCACGATAATTGCCCAACGATCCGAAGGTGAGTTCGGCACAAATTAGAACTGCAATCGTGCATTTTGCACTTTACTTAGAAGAAATTGGCGCGACTTATGCCGAATTCGCCTTCGACTCGTTCGGCAACGGCTTTTTTTGAGGTGAAATTGATCAATACGCGTAGATAGCCCCTAGCACGATAATTGCCGAACGATCCGAAGTTGAGTTCGGCACAAATTAGACTCCAATCGTGCATTTTGCACTTTACTTAGAAGAAATTGGCGCGGCTTATGCCGAATTCGCCTTCGAATCGTTCGGCAACGGCTTTTTTTTTGAGCTGGAATTGATCAATCCGCGTAAATAGCCTTTAGTACGATCTTTAACGAGCGAGTCAACGCCTGCTTTTGAGAAATACCATAAAGGCGCTTGGTATAAAGTTTGCGCATGCGCATAATCAATTTTTTAATGTAGGTATGTTGCGATTTTTGTAGATTAGGTCTTTCCAATAAAAGAAACAATAAATTCATGAAAGGGGGGGGGGGGGATGAAAGCGCCTTCTTTTACTAATCCTGTCATTACAATTTTGCCGCACAGAACGATGGTAGCGAGTCCGATATGGCTTTAAGTATGAATCGCTATATCGGTAACTCGATTCTTCCTCTTCTCATACAACACAGCAAATTCTACTCCGAAGCGGAAAACTACGCGTCGATCTTAGACGCAACTCTACACACGGTTTATCGCCTCTCCAAAAATCGAATGTTGACGAAAGGGCAACGTGAGGCTGTCTCCGATTTTCTGGTCGCATTAACTAGTCAAATGCAACCGTCGATGTTACTGAAACTGCTCCGCAAATTGACCATCGACGTCTCGAACCTGTCCGAGTACACGACCGTAGCGCTCCGACTACTCACGATGCACTACGATCGTTGCGCGAAGTACTACGGCTCGACGACCGGCCAGGGATTGTACGGCGCTTCGTCCGACGAAGAAAAACGTCTCACCATGATGCTGTTCTCGAACATTTTCGACTCGCTGAGCAAGATGGACTACGATCCTGAACTGTTCGGACGCGCCCTCCCCTGTCTGACCGCGATCGGCTGCGCGTTACCGCCCGACTACTCCCTCTCGAAGAATTACGACGACGAGTGGTACGCGAGCAAGACGGCGGCGAGCGGCCCCTCCGGTCCCGGCGGCCCCTACAATCCCCAGCCGATCAATACCGCGTCCGTGCAGCTCAACAACGACCTGAACCAAATCGTTCAGAAATTCTCCGAGCACTACCACGACGCCTGGGCCTCGCGTAAGTTCGAAAACTCCTGGCAGTACGGCGAGGTGTGGTCGGACAGCAACAAAACCCACCCCCGCCTCAAGCCGTACGCGATGCTCAACGACTACGAGAAGGAGCGCTACAAGGAGCCGGTGCGCGAATCGCTGAAGGCCCTAATCGCGATCGGCTGGTCGGTCGAGCATTCCGAATCGGACGTGCCGACCAACAAGAACTCGATCCGTCGAAGCTCGAAGAACGGCGAGTCGAATTCGCCCTTCCACTACCACCCGCACCCGGTCGACACGACCAATCTCACGCTGTCCCGAGAGATGCAAAATATGGCGGAGCGACTCGCCGAAAACGCCCACGATATCTGGGCGAAAAAGAAGAAGGAGGAACTGATCACTTGCGGCGGAGGCATACATCCGCAACTGGTGCCTTATGACCTGCTCACGGATAAGGAGAAGCGAAAGGACCGCGAGAGGTCGCAGGAGTTTTTGAAATATCTACAGTATCAGGGATACAAGTTGCACAAGTAAGTAGGTTCAGGAGATTTTTTGGGATTAATGATCGTTTAGGCCCTCGCGCGAAACCGACACCGACACCGAGAAGACCGCGACCGGACCGTCGGTCGAACTTCGGTTCGCCTACAGTCTGTTGGAGAAGCTGATTCAGTACGCCGATCGCGCCACGATTAACATGAAGATTTTGAAGCCGTCTGCCATCTTCAGTCGACGTTCCACTTTTAAAACGTCGACGCGCGACATCGTCTTCTTCTCGAAGGTCGTCCTGCCGCTGATGGAGAAGTACTTCTCGACGCATCGCAACTATTTCATAGCCGTCGCGACCGCGACCAACAACGTTAGCGCCGCCAGTTTGAAGGAGAAGGAAATGGTGGCGGCACTGTTCTGCAAGCTGGCCAGCTTGCTTAGGAGCCGACTGTCGGCCTTCGGTGCCGACGTTCGTATAACGGTCCGTTGCCTTCAGGTGCTCGTGAAGGGAATCGATGCGAAATCGCTCGTCAAAAACTGCCCCGAGTTCATCCGCACCTCCATGCTGACCTTCTTCAATAATACCGCCGACGACTTGATGCACGCCATCGTTAACTTGCAGGAGGTACGCTTTTTGTGACCGGGCCGTATACAGACCTTTGGTGTTTCAGGGAAAGTACAGCCATCTGCGCGGTACCCACCTGAAGACGTCCACTTCGCTGTTTTACGTTAATTCGGTGATCATGCCGGTCCTAACGGCGTTATTCGATCATCTTGCCAATTGCGAGTACGGCACGGACCTCTTGTGTAAGTTTTACGACAGATGTAGCTGATAACAGTGCACTAGGTCCGTCACAAATTTACCGTTGGGTAAAATTTCGGTTTATTTATGTGATTGTTGTGATTTAGTAGTTTTGGTTGTTGTAAATGTCGAAAAACAACGAAAAGAAGTTTGATTCGGCTCAAGAAGGACCAATATTTTTTAGCTTCTTAAGCGCTTTTGGGAGTAGTCATTTCTGCACAGGCGTTCTTTACAAGAATTGGGGATTAAAGGATGTGTACTTTATTATTTTTCTCAATTGCAGTGGATGAGGTCCAAGTGGCTTCCTACAAGATTATGTCGGCCCTTTACCAGTTGGGCACCGACACGACCTTGACCCACGATCGCAAGTACCTGAAGACCGAGATCGAACGCTACAAGCCGGCTTTGGGTACGTATACTCGCCGATTTCGCCCGAGTACACCTGTCAATTTTAAGGCTCGTGTCTCGGCGCGTTCAGCTCGACCTTCCCCGTCGCGTACCTGGAGCCCCACCTCAACAAGAACAATCAGTTCTCTCTGCTGAACCGCATCGCCGATCACTCGCTCGAGGCGCAGGACATCATGGCGCGAATGGAGACGTCGATGCCGACCCTCGAGACGGTCCTCGGCGAGGTCGATCAGTTCGTCGAAAGCGATCGGACGTACGCCGACGCGCCGCACATCATCGACGTGATAATGCCGATGCTTTGCTCTTACCTGCCGTTCTGGTGGCAGCAAGGGCCCGACAACGTCAGCCCGACCGGAGGGTGAGTTGCGCGCCTAATCCAATAGGGTCTCTCAACCCGAACCGATTGCAGCACGCACGTGACGATGGTCACGGCCGAGCACATGAATCAGCTGCTGAAGAACGTTCTCAAATTGATCAAGAAGAATATCGGCAACGACAGCGCACCTTGGATGACCCGCATTGCCGCTTACACCCAACAGATCATAATCAACAGCAGCGAAGAGCTCCTCAAGGATCCGTTCCTGCCCCTAGCCGAACGTGTGAAAAAACGAACGGAAACCATGTTCCACAAGGAGGAGAGCTTGCGAGGTTTCATTAAGGGCTCCACCGACGATACGTCACAGGTAATTCAGTCTTTTGAAGGTCACCCGTTAATGTGACGGTCCATCCATGATTCTTACAATTTTTCAGTTTCATTGAATTCATTCGAATTTCCAATCCTGAAAGCTTCAAACACAAAATCTTCAGATTCTCTGGATTGTCTTTTTTTATTTTTCAGGTCATAAAATTCTGAGGATTCCTTGGATCCTTGGGAGTCTGCGGATTCTTCGGATTTTTTGGATTCTTCAGATTAGTATTTAAATTCTAGAATCCTTCGATTCTTAAGATTTTTGATTTCTTTTTCATATTTATGATATTTTTCGATTCCTTGGATTCACCATAGAATTCTTGAATTCCTGGCATTTCTGGGATACCTAGGATTCCTTGAATTCCTGGACCTCCTAGGATTCTGTCGACTCGTTTTCAAATTTATCACATTTTCATGATTCTCAGAAGTCTTTTGGATTTCGGATTCCGCAATTCTCTTCGATTCTTACGATTTCTACGATTCCCTGAATTTCATGGACTCCTGAAATTCCTTCGATTTCTTCGTCACATTTTAGTATGCTCAGAAATCTTGGATTTC